AATTTTGCAAACAAAGTTGGATTTGGAACATTTATGATAAAACTCTGAATGTAATAATTATTGCCGTTCTGCACCACCAGCTGAATTTTGAATGTAAGTTACATTATTTGCGAGGTTAGCTTTAGCAGAATTGCAACATTCATTTTTCGAAAGGTATATATGGAATGAGGGCACAACGAACTCAAATGTAACTGTAAGTGGTGCCCTGATAAGTGACGACTAGGTGATAAGGTACGTTTCCAAACACCACCATAATTCGTAATCTCTGATGACAAGTGATAATGCAGCAGCTTATAGTGTACAAGAACAAAATCTTAATAAGTTCTACAGTATTTATCAGAGCAAATAAACAATATGTAGATGTATGTTACTCAGATAATCAAGCTAATAATGAAAAATCAAAGCCAGATACTACTAAGTACTAATTACACATATTCCAAGAGATATTGCATTAGAGAGACATCACCTGGCACATTAGAAACAAGCTAAATGTGGAGATGAGAATCATAACAAACCCGAAAAAACAGATCTGTCGGAATCCTAAGCAGTTTCACGGTCCGATATGCCACTTTGTCAATTAATGTCTTTGGAACATGGTGCTTGTTCAGATCAATTGACACGTCTGCCCGGTATGTTTCCCATGGCTGTAAAATAGAAAACAACAGAGCACTAGATCAGGTCGCCGCACGAGTGTTCTTATGTTGTTATTATACTATAAATCATTAGGCACAACAGCAAGTTGCTGTGAAGTTTGACTCACTGGAATCCAACCAAATATGTGAGGATTTGATATACAAAACAATTTTAGTTCCTAGTTTCAGAACCATACCCACTATTAACAAATCACAGTCCTCCTTAGCTATTTATTCTTAAGCATATAAAATATGTTTAAAGTATATAGATTAAATGTATTCAAATTGCATTCTTATAGCATAGGACTACTGATTTAAACATAAAGTTTAATAAAATCTCAATCCTGGAATTGCCGTTGCAGAAGGTTTCAGACAAATTAAGTAATAAATATCACAAAATGACTTAAATCCTTATGAGTCTAATCCTAGATGTTTTTCCAATACCAAACTCACAGTCAAATTTGAAAATATTGTACACTAATATTAGTAATGGTCTTTGAATTTTGTTTCTTCAAAAGATTGACACATTAATGTTTGAATTGATGAAATGGTATTTCTTTATGGATAAATTATATTATGATGTTTAGAATATGGCAGACATATTCTTTTAAACACCATATAATGTTTTTAATATTATGAATATAAATTTGAAATAAGCAAGGATTCCGAGATCCTGAAAAGTTGATCAAGGGAGAAAAAGAAGGAAAAAGAAAAAGAGTATCCAACTTTCCAAATGCCAAACGTGACATCTTGCAAACAATTTCATGTATTGTACATTCTCTTTTAAAAAATTAAAATAAAAATAAACCAATAAACCCATGCCCTTGTATGAGTCAACCCCAAACCAGACAATTCCATAGCTAATCCAGCTTATTGAAAAACAACACGGCAAAAAATTGCTATCAAAGCCCGGACACAATTTGTACTCATTAGACATATGAATCACACAAAGGCGCTGCTCCAAAAAATTTGATCAACGCACGGAAAAATTCCAGGTTCGACTCAAAGCATAAATCTGGCTTAAGATAATAGCAGCTAACAATTTCAACCACAAATCTACTTCGAAAGCAACCGTCGGGACTGTTCTATATCAGCAGTATATTTTCGTTCCTCGACACAAATCAAATTTTACCAAAACCAAACACACATTTCTTAAAACATTATATGGTAGCAGGGATATAAGATCACATCACCATGAAACAGTTCCAAGGCCACTCTGTGCCGTCCTCTCTGGTGATTTTAGGCTTTGAAATTCCCCAGTAGCTCGATACCACCAATCCGCCTTTCTCCGCCACCGCGACGTTGCTCTTGTCTTCCTTCTCCACCACCGCCGAGGTAGAAGAATGCTCCGCCTCGGTGCTCATCATCCGCCTCCACCCGATCAGCGCCATACGTGACCCCCGCGGATGCTCCCCAATCAACGCGCCAAAAAGCTTCGGCGCGCGGATCACCACCGCGGAGGATGACGAGAAGTGGCGGCGGCAGCTACCGCCGGCTATCACACGCTTCATCACTGATCTTGCGAGCAAGGGGTTCATTTTCGTCGCTGTACACAAAATACTCAAAACAGAGAAGTTCAATAGGCGGCTTCAAAATATATTGGAGAAGGTGTGATTGAGTGTTGGTGGTTCTTCTGGACCAGAAACTTGTAGTAGGTTAGTAAAGGTTTCTTAGATGACGTGTTGATGTATTACTGGTTGGTCTATGCGCTCGAGGTTACTGGAGGACATAAATGACCTTCCGTATTTCACGAATGTTTGCCCAATATGAGAGGTTACTTTTCTTTTGCTCCAAGCTTACTGGAAACTTGGACACTGTGAGCAGGTGTAGGGAAGCCAACATGAGGTCGACGTTTTCTATTTACACGTGGCTAATGATTGATTGATACCACTTCGGCTTTAGTTGTGGGTCAAATGGGCCGGGTCGGGCCGCCGATGCCATGATTTTTTTTTTTTGAAAAAAAAAATATCTATAAGGGTGAGTTTGTAACTTTATATATAAAATAAATCAATTCATACTTAAAATGTAACTCAATTTTAATCCAACACTATTATATTCAATTAGCGTCGGTACCCGTGCGGTGCACGAAGTATACTATAAAAAATATTTTATTATTTAAATATTATTAATTTTTTTAAGACTATGAAATTATATTCCCCACAATATTCAATTCAATAATAATATGAAATTTGTTTATTTACTATTATTATTATTTTCTATTTTTTATTGTTTTGTAGATTTTGACTATTTAATATGTAAATTTTATTATTTATAAGTTTATAAAATATTATAAACGTATATTATCATATGATACTTGCATACAAATTACTTACTTGGTACTTATAAAATCATCGATTATCATAGTCTTCTAACTTTTTCAACAATTCATAATTTTCACATTGTTCAATAATTGATTAACGTTTAATCCATAATATTTATTTTTCTATATAATAATTTTATGTTCATGAAACGTTAAAAAGTTTAAATATAAATTTATTTTTTGGTAACTTTGATCCTTATGCAATTATTCATGTTTGAAAACTTATAATTTTTCTTATATATTATTTTACAAATAAAAATAAGTAAATAAAATAGTCAAGTATAATAATTTAAATTATTACACTTGGTAATTATGGAAATATATAATATATCTAAATATTCAAATAGGTACTAATTAACTCAATAAATATAAATAAAAAAATAAATATATATTTAAACTTTGAACCTATATATTGAGTTAATTAGTACCTATTTGAATATTTAGATATATTATATATTTCCATAATTACCAAGTGCAATAATTTAAATTATTATACTTGACTATTTTATTTACTTATTTTTATTTGTAAAATAATATATAAGAAAAATTATAAGTTTTCAAACATGAATAGTTTATAGTGTACATAATTTCTAAGGTGAGTATTATAATTCTGAATTGTACCCAACCATTTAATTTTATTAATATATTATTATAAATTTTATTATTATTATTATTAAAAATGATATACTCAATGGAGATGTACCTTTTTATGGTTAAGTTGACTGTATTTTCGAAACTTTTATTAATATTTTAAATTATTCATTAAGTTATTATGATTCAAACGTAGTTATTCTGATTATTTTATTGAATATTTTAAGTTATCTTGATTTTTTTATTAAATATTTTAAGTTTATTTGGATTATTTTATTATATATTTTAAGTACTTTTTAATGGTAAATATAATTAATTAGATTATTACCTACAACCGTAGATGATAATATATATAACTAAATCAATTTTCATAATATTCTATTGAATTGTGCCAATAAACTACTATGAAATTAATATAAGATCTTATTGAAAATTTACCTATAGTGGCAATAGTGTAAAAAGGTTTGCTCATAGCAACCCATAAATTTTAAAAATCTATATCTATATCTATATCTATATCTATATAATAAGAATAACCATTTACTAAAAATAGTAGTTGAATATTTTAGGAGCATTTAATGCATACATTTTTCTGGAAACTATACATTAATTGCTTCCATATACACTTTTTTAAATCAAATCAAATCAGATATAATAAAAAATATTGTTTCTTTAAACAATTTTATTAATATTTGCAATAATTTTATTGATATCCATTATACTAAATTAGAAGATTGACTTTCTAATTCTAACCCTATTAATATTTAGTTTCATTGATACCCATTAATATTTAAGATTGTTTCCGTAAATCAAATCAGACTTAAACAGACAGTAAAAATAACTCATTGTACGTATTAGTTATAAAAAATGACGCTTGACATTTTTTCATTGGGTGTTGAATGGTGAGGACAGTGCCCATACTGCTAGTTTGCTAGCATCGACTCCAACTAATCAACACATATGCTTGTTTCTTTTTCCCCTTCCTGTCGCAATATCATTTAACTTCTCAATGGCCATCCTTTAGTATGTGTCTATTAGTTATGACACTAGTATTTGATCTTATGCACATGTACAAAGAGAAACAAAAATTTATATATTATATGTACGTATATGATATTTAAAAATTTAAATTATAATAAAGTGTGTATTACATTTTGAAATTTTAACTATATATAATAATATAAATATAAATTGTTTAACTTCCATATATCAGTTTGTTGTTTTTTTTTTTTTTTATTATTGTATAACTATAATACAAAATAGGAATAAATATGTTACAGAATAAAAAAATAATATTAATAAAATTTTACTTGTGTAACTGTCATTTAAATGTTAGTTATAAATATTTTATTAAATAAAATCTTGTTTTTATTAATTGTTGATTGAATAAAATTTATTTAAATTTGCCTGCAATTATATAGATAGATAGATAGATTATAGAGAAGAGATATGATGACGTGTATGGATTCATTTTAAAAAACTTATAAAAAAAAGCTTTTATAAGGAACAAGTTTCGAGAATTGTTGGGAGTATGGTGAAAAACACAGTTGTTGCAACAAGTACAACTTAATCAATGGATGCCTGGGAGGGAATGCCTGATATAGTGGAGAAGTGGTGAAATTACTACGGTTTTCATTGAAGTTTCAACTAGACGACAATTACACAGTTCCATAGAGCGAGTGGTTTTCAAATGTCATTCAAACACGCAACAAACCGCAACAAAGATTTGATGAAGTTAGCTCTTATTCTCAAAGCTAAACTCCAGAGCAATATTCATCATCCAAACTGTACAATAGAAAACAATACTTACATCCCACTCGGCACAGGTTAACCAAAATCCAACATAAAATAAAGTATACAGCACCAGAAAACACAAATTACAATAATATAAGATTCTCCAATAAAAAAAAAACCCTCTAATTTCAGCACTCCTTCTCAGATGCAAGGCTCTCGTAAAAGAGAATGTAGCCATGGTCATTGCTGCCCGAGTACTCGTGGGCCGACCCAAAGAAGGTCTGGATGGCAGACTCATCCACCATCTCCACATTCTCATCATCAAAAAACAGCCAGTGGTTGTGGCTCTTAACAAGGCTCACATAGTGACCATGGTTGGGCCCGCTGCCCACGTGGACCACAACAGCAAATAATGAGTATTCGGAGTCAACATCTTCCATAGTGTTGCTGAGTTTGAGTTCGAGAGGGAACACGACTCTGTAAGACAGCTTTTTGTGGCGGTTAAGCTGCTCCATGTACTTGAAGCGCTTGAGGTGGATGACCAAGATGTGGGGTGGTTTCTTTATCTTCATCCTCTTCTGAGCTTCTTGCAAACTGCAATTTCCATTTTTTTCTTGTNATTGAAATTACAAGAACGACCTTGAAAATTATTTCACTTATACAATCACAAGGGAGTGTGTCGGAATAAACTTGAATTTTTGTTATTAGGACAAATACCGTGATTATTATTATTTATCTCGAGATAATAATACTACTACATAAATGAAAAATAAAATTAGAAAAAAAAAACACCTACCTACGGCACTTGTCACAAAAGAATTTATCTTCAGCATTAAGGGTTTCGGTGGAGCTGAAATTCCTGAGACAGCTTGTTATTGAACTGTTCTGTTCGATATCAAGGCTTAAATCCAAGAACGTTTCGTCCCTAGCAGTAACAGTCTCACACCTTAAACACCTTGTCTCATTTGTTAGTATACCCTGCTCACAATATGAGCCAGCCGACAAATACAATAACATTAGCTCTCAAAACCATGGACAATCACCACAAATCATATCAATTTGAAATAATTCACAAAGGAAAAAGAGGCATCATACATGAAACATCAGAAAAATGGGAGGGTAGAAGCCCTTATGTATTGCAGTTATTTTAGGACATAGTACCAAACAGATAGGCTATTTAAAATTTGAAAATTTGGAATACTTTATAGTGTTGCAAGTTTGACCTGAAAATTCTTGTGGACCCAAGTAACTAATGGTTCCTTCTTTACACCATCGAGTGGACCATTGCTCGGCCCATTAACAGTAGTGTCAAGGGAAGCCTGGGGCACGCTGGTCACTTTCTGAGACTCTTTCTCCAATATGTCAACGAGTTCATTCAGCAGATAGTTTAAAAATTCATGAGCATCCTGCACGAGTAGGAACAGTAAACGTACATGGACTATTTACAAATACAATAGAGATTTATTTCAAGAAAAGAACTTCTAAGGCTCCGTGACAGATGCAGAATCCTTTTGAAGATAAAACTCTAAATGATTTTAAGCTTGTGATTCAAGTTCCCATATTTGCTGACTCAGGTGTTTAAAAACAAGCAGTTTGAAGCATCATTAACCTTAAGAATTAAATTGGATAAAACAGAGATACGTGCATAAGAGTCTCCATCTTGCAAAGAAAACAGACCAAAATATTTGTCTTTTGTTCTTGAAAAAAGAAAATACAAGTACATTTCAATCATGTGTTTAGTAAGACTAATGCACGAGTAAAAATAGAAGTAATGTTACCAAAAACCTACCTGATGCATGTATCCTCGGAAATTCTCATTTTCTCTCCGAATTCTTTGTACAAAGCGCTTTGGAGCTATTACACCTGTTTTCTTCTTCTGTGAACTTATCTGCATAAAGATAATTAACATGTTAGTTAATCATAAAAGATTTTCATGTCAAGATTTAACATATGAACTTCAACATTAATAGAGATGATATTTCCGGAAGAGACTAAGCATCTGGTCGACCAATATATTAAATTCCACCATACTTGGCACATGGCACTTCGCAGGAAACTATTACATGAATATCTGTGCTAATGAAACAAATAACAAAAATCTTAAACATGGGATGAAAACTAGGTGCACTCCTGTAAGAAACTAAGCACACTAGCAACACATTACAAAGGCAGGTCGTTCATATCTACACTCTTCTACCGTGCTAGGAACAAGCGTTCATATAGATATTATTCTAACAAAACCTACAGTAAGGTTAGTGTTGGAATGTCTTTGGAAACACCTAGAAAAGCACATAAAGACAATGAATGAGAAATACTGAAATTGCTGATAAAAGCATTACCTGTGAGAAAAGTTCTGCAAGACATGTTAAGATATTTTCATCTGCTTCCCCTTGGTTTTTGTTGTTAGAATAATACTCCAGCAAGTGTTCACGAAATGGGGCACAAAAATAAAGGGCCTGCAGAAAAGAACATTAGAGAGTTGAAAATAGCAAAGATTCTCATCCTGCACAAGAAATATTGCTCAACATGTATTACTTCAAGTCTTCAACAAATCAAAATCCACTCTTCTGAAACAAAGTTCTTACATGGAAATCATATATACAATCCATCTACCCACTTTGCAAATGAAATTACTCCATTATCTCAACAAGAGACAACCATCACATAAGTTGAACGGCGAAGACATGTAAATCGAATTCCCTTTTGTTATGAACATATATTTTTTTTCATGGAAATTAAAACAATACAAAACAAAACCACGATGGTAACTAGTATGATCTCTGCCACCTAAAAAAATAATCAAAACATTTCAGCAACCAACAACCAAACTATATGAAAAGCTCATCTCTTCACTCAATTTATCGCCTACCAAAAGAACCCTTCCTTTCCAATCACTATTTTAACCTTTGGAGCACAAATCACATCCCTTCGCTCAATCTATCGCCTAACAATAGAACCACCCTTTGCACTTCCTATTTTAACCTTCCCGGCACAGCAACAATCAGAAAGAACCCCACAAAACTTAACTCGCCATATCTAATGTTTCCTCTCTTTTTTTTTTTCCTTTCAAATCAACTTCATGCCAAACAAATCTCAATAACGAATAAAAAATAAAGCCAATAAATTCCAGGCACCCCACCTGGAGGACACTGTTGCAGTAACAAGTGTTGCCGAAATTCTCCAAGCCGAAATAACGCTCGCCTTCGGGAAACTGATCTCCTAGAGCCTTCTCCAGCTTCGAACCCGCCACACCCATTGCGAGTGTGACAGCATCCACCATATACCAAAACTTCTCTATACCTCTCGGCCTTTTCTCACCGGTCCACCCCAATCATCCGAATTTTTCATCAATCGCCGCTCCAGTTTCGCTTATTCCTTTTCCTGCGATAAGGGATGAGGGGGAAGATGGTGAGGGTTGACTCGGCAAGCAGTAATGCGGTGTCGTTTTACAGCGGAGCCACCGAGGCTTTGCGCCTTTGTCGCGTATATTCTGCAATTTCTGTTGAGAGAGACAAGGGAAAAAGTGGATGAAGACTTCCCGATAAAGATTGTAGGCATCCATTGACTGGGCTGGGCTTCGACTCAACGGATTAGTTGCATAAACCTATAATTATTTTTAAACTTCAATTATTTACAAAAAAATAAGAGAAAATTAATTTTAATACAATAAATTTCGTCCATTCAATTATAAGTAACGAGCAACTCGTACGATACGCAAGAATCTTGTTCCTCAAAACTTTTTTCTTTAAAAAACTTTATTTTAAAAACTACCCCATGCTATAACATTATTATCATAGGTGAGAAACAACATATTATGCAATTATTATCTACTAGAAATTATATGAAAATTTTGGAACATTTATTAAATAAATATGGTTCTTAGTTAGATATGTGAAAATGAATCAATATGTTTAGTTGTGGTTGAATAATTTTTTTAAAAATTTTTATTTTCAAACTCAAATAAAAGAGAAATTATTTGAAAATTTTTCAAAATAAAATTGTTCATTAGTAATTAGATAATCAGTGAATTTTATGATGGAAGATTATAATCATAGTATTGTGAATTTTATGATAGAAGGTATTACCTAAAAATATTGTATTTGGTTCTTTTTAAATCAATTAACCGATATAAAATATTAGTATGGTAGAATACATTGTTATATGATTAAATACAAAATAATATTTAACATTAATTATATTGTCATACTATTTAAAATACAAAATAATATATAAACCATATTTAACATAGCAATAAACAAAATAATCAATATATTATTAAAAAAAGGACATTGAATGCCGCATACCAAACAACATCGATTCATCAATATTATCATATCAATTAACGTCGGAAAGCTACTAAAATCAAAACGATAAAGTAGAAAAGCACTCTTGTACTTGTACTACTATTCTTCTT